CGGGTATCGATGTCCAGACAACTGACCTCTTGTGAGTCCAGTGCCCACCAGTTATGGGCCAACGATGGGCTACAGAGACAACAACTGGACTCCGGGCCAAACGTATAGCGCAGAGCTTTGCGTATGTTTTCAGTGGTATTCTGTGTCCAAAAGTATTGCTCCAAATCTCGTCGCTCTTCAAAGCCATTCAAAAACATCGATCGCTTGAAATAATTTGGCGGAACTTTTATCACATCATATTTTGTGCGCTTTTCCATCGATTCACTGCTTTTCATACTCTTTTCACAACCGGTGCTCTCATTAAAACTTTTTGTCATTTTAAAAATATTTTACAAAAACTTATTTTTTATATAAAATTAAGTAAAAGTGTTGTACAAAAGAAACTCTAAATTCAACACTATTTGAAACACTTTTCACACGAGAACTGATTGTTATATTTAGCGACAAATACTTTATATATGCGTTAAATGATTGCAATAAAATGTATGCAATAGTTATATAACGTCTGCATTACGTATTGAATGAGAACAGGTTTAGTCATTATATGACAGACTTTATACAGTATTAGGAAAATAATGAACAAATGATTGAAAAAACCCGAAAGACATGCTAACGATTTTTTGTTTCCATTATTACCACAAATCGATTCATTAATTTGTCTAAAATTCAGATCATAAGTGTTTTAACATATGATAAAATATCTCAAGAAAGTGAACTGTTTGAAACAAATAATGACAATTTAGTTTACTTTTACACACATGAATGCCAATTAACAATTAATTCAAACAATTGCAACAAGTTAAAGAAAAACCTAAATTAAGCATTTAAAAAGTAAATTTTTATTAACTTTCAGGCATATACCAAGCCTACAACTTTTAAGCTTTGTCCATCTGTGAGTCTGCGCGATATCAAGCTTTAATGCAGTCAATGCTTCAACATTACAATAATATTGACTAAGCAAGCTTGAAACTTGTAGGCTTGATATATGCCTGAAAGTAAATACAATAATTGGAAATAACCTTAGAGCATTTTTCAAAACTACAACTTTTAAGCTTGGTTCATCTGTGAGTCTGCGCGATATCAAGCTTTAATACAGTTAATGGTATAATATTACAATAATATTGACTAAAGCAGCTTAAAAGTTGTAGTTTTGATAAATGCCATGAGGTAATATATTAATATTTAAACTTGAAAATTGTGTTTAAGTTTTTATAGTTTTTAAAGTTGATGGGTTAGAATTTTTTGGAAAATTTACACGAAAATATTTGATCAAAAATAAATAATTAGATTAATAATTAATTTGAAATAGTTAGTAAAAGTTTTAGTATTTTAATATATGATGGATATTTGTAAATTGTATTATTTTAATTGTGTCATGAATGTTATTTGTATCACATATTATTTGTATCACATATTATTTATCAATATATGGAATACTAGTTTCATTCATATCTCCAATGGTTTCAACTGATTGTTAAAGTTGTTATCAAAATCTATTCAAGTATCGTAGAGGTGTCACGAAAAATAGCTATATTATGGATATTACACAATTAGGTTCAATTAAAAATAATTTGTATAATTATAATTTATAAGTAATATACTTTATTTATACCACGTGTTAGAGTATTTTAAGAATATAACTTATTCCTACATAAGCATGAGTAAAATAAACTTTAGTGCACATGGACTTTATTATTCTCAATGCATTGATAGCGTATTAAAACTTTGCACTAAAACTCTTGAATACAGAACCATAGAAACGATGTCTCGCTTTTATACTGTGGCTGTTTGTGAATCTCTGCAAACATTTAATATCAACCAATGTTTGCGGTAATAGTGACCAAAAGTGTGATTCAAATTAGTTTAATATCGATATTTATTTAAATTCTAATAATTGTCGCAAATGTTGTGCACAAAACACATTTATTTAACCATTTTGAGTGTTATTTCCGCAATTAATTGCAGTAATTATAAAAATTATAATAAAAAGTGTATTTCACGAACGCCATCGATATCGCGGACACAACTGTTTTACCAAACGTTTCCATCGATAGAGTGTCCGATAGTTATGGAAGAATTGTCACCGAAGAGTGAATTACCGCAGTCTGTGAGAGTGAACGGCAGCTTCGCCAATCCGTGGCCCACTTGGAAAAAGTGGACATGGTGCGAAGCGTTCAAATCATTGACTGAACCCAATCACAGCAATGTACCAAACGAAGAGGTCAGTTAACACATCCTACCCTTCATACTATTTTTATCATATATTGGGTCATTTGAATAATAAGTATCTTTTAAGATAGCTATGATAATGACAGTAATTTTATAATTTAAGTTAACTTTCTTGTGCACCAGAAACAGAGTTTCACGAAGATCGGATTAGTATTTTTAAGTAAGTCTATGGGTAATGTTATATTAATAGGACTAATGCTAATCGTATGGCCAATGCTGTCAATGACTAATGTTAAATCTATGAGACTAATGCTAATCTTATGGGCAATGCTAAGTTTTTAAACGTGTTTAGAATAAGTGTTTAAAATAATTACAAATAATGAATGAATTGTTGGCCAACAGGTGCTCAACCAAACTCTGCCAATACTTAAACCAAACTTTGACTTCGATGAAAGTCGTATATCGATGTCATGGATCGGTCACTCGACAGCTGTCATCCATTTCGATGGCATTACTGTATTAACGGATCCCATATTCAGTTCGAGAGCGTCTATGTGTCAACTGATAGGCCCTAAGAGATATAGGAGGGCCGCCGCCACTGTCGACGAGTTGCCACACATCGACGCCGTAGTGATCAGTCATAACCATTACGACCACTTGGATGTGGGAAGTGTTGAGGCACTGAACGCCCGCTTCGGTTCACACCTGTATTGGTTGGTGCCGTCGGGACTCAAAGAGTGGATGAAAGACGTGGGAATCACTCATAACGTAATAGAGCTCGAGTGGTGGCAAAGCGCTCGCATACCATCCAAACCCGACATTCAATTCACTCTAACGCCGGCCCAACACTGGACCCAAAGAGGTCTGTGGGATGGGATGCAAGTTCTGTGGGGCAGTTGGACTGTCGTCGGACCCAAACACCGGTTCTTCTTCGCTGGCGATACCGGATATTGTCCTGTATTTAAACAAATCGGACAAATGTACGGTCCGTTTGATTTGTCTGCCATTCCGATCGGCGCTTATGAGCCCCGGTATGTCCTCTATATATGCTGTTTATGCTAAACATTTGCCGACAAACTCATACAGAATATAAATAAGTGTAGCTTTATTGAATGTTATAGTACAAATTGATCATGTTTGTTTATTTGTTGATTGATTGTCAGATGGATTATGACTCCCGAACACATAGACCCCGAAGAAGCCGTACAAATACACGAAGACATTAGGAGTAAAGTGAGTGTCGGAATACATTGGGGAACGTTTGTTATGGCACATGAGGTTTGACCACATATTCAACCCAATATACAAACTGATCACTCATTGAATCTATTTGTGATCTGAAGTACTATTTAGAGCCACCGATGAAACTAAAGACTGCGTTAAAGGACCACAATTTGGATGAAAATGAATTCATAGTTATATCTCACGGACAGACAAAAAGTGTATGACTTTAAAAAATACTGTAAAATACTCTGCAATAAAGAATAGACTAAAATGAATATATAAATTTATATAGAGTAAAGTATTAAATTCCTTTTATAAATAAAACAAGTTATTTAACTCAACATTAATGATGATAAATTGTATTTATGAAAAAATATAATGAATTTTGAGAGACTCGAGTTACAATTATTGTTTATTTATTATAACATAACAAAAATATAACATAACAAATTCATACTAAAAATTTGCCTATAATTGAAATCTGATTTCATTTCTCTGGCAAATGAGAAGGTGAGAGAGGGGAGAGAAGAGATGCGTTTGTGCAATGAAATCGCATCCTTTACTTCCCCACTAAACATGTGTCAATTTAAAAGTTAATAAAAAGCTTCGCAAACCGAATGCTTTCAAAAGTTATCATTTTTGTTGTAATATTAATTGTGTTGTCTTTTTAAGATACTGTATAAATCGACAGATCTTGAAGAATGGTTGAGATAAATGCAAGCGATTCGGGTATGTTTGATATTTAGTTGCATTGAATTATAGGCAAACAGAATAAGACATTAGTTATATTACAACCACTGTTTGAAATATTTTTACTAATTAATGATTTGAATGAACGTATAATTAATTTTAATATATTAAATAATTTACTATTAAAAGTATAAAAATATCTCAATTTGTTTGTTGGACACACAAATAATTGATTGCTAAAATAGAAAACTATGTGTTTGATATAAATGTGCAAATATATGCCAAAATTAAAAATACATTTTATAAAAACTATAATTATAGCGATAAAGTTGCAGACGGTTTCCGTGAATCACGAGTTGAACCAACAGTCCATAGAAGTGCCCGAAGAAGAGGCCACTCGTGGCCGCCAATCAGTGTTACAACGCGTGCGAAGTGTGTGCACATCGTTTGGCCGGTGGTTCTCAAGACCCGGGGTTTTAAGTGCCTTACAAGCGATCCGCCAATTCTTTGGATGCCTTTGGGATTTCATTGAGTTCTTATGTGATGTTTGTAACCAAAATGCATTGTAAAACCATTTGAATTCAAAGTTATCATTACTTTTTATTAACAAATAAAACTTGTATTCTTCTATACGATATCACGTGTTATTCATTCAGTATCTTTTGAGCATTTGCATTAGCATTGATATTTTAATAGTAAATATCATATTTATAAAGTATATTATTAATATATTCTATTAGGAATGAACAAAATTCTTTAAAAATTTCCTATTGTTTTTTCTATTGAGATCTTTTAATCTAATTTTTTAAGAAATCGTTTCATTCAAGTTTCAATAAAAAATTGTTAAATTTATTGACTTATTTTATATTATCAATCAATACATTACACAAAAAACAGTTCATTTAATTTGGTTTAACATTAAATAAATTGAAAGTCAATTCACAACAAAGTAGTGGTGAATGAGTTGTAGAGACAGTGGATGTCGTGGTTAACAGGAAGGAAAGGGTCGTTCGAATTCACGCTTGGATTGTGTGAAGCGATTGCGAATGAGGAACGCGGCCACCACTTGAGCCACTTTGTCGGGCGCGTCCTCGTGAACGGTGTGACCGCATTTGGGCAACACTTGCATCTGAAACTTGCCCTGCATTTGGCCCACAGTGAGCGCCCGGTCGAGTCGGTCGATGCCGGCCAACAGCAGCAGTTTGGCCCCAGCGTTGCAGTTGAGGAACAAATTGGATAAGTCTTCGAACCATTGGTTCCAATAGGGCTCCGAACGGAACAGGTCTGTCCTCCACGTGTAGCCACTATTGTCTGGTTTCTTGAACACAGGTATAGGTTTGTCGACCACTACTTGGTCTGCGTTTTCTTCGTCCACTTCTTCGTCAATGCTTTCACTCAAAGCAAACTTTTGATTATTAGCTGATTCTTGAGCACCGGTTTGTTGAGGCAAATCATCGGCCAGTGAGGGCTCTTCGAGCTCTACAGTAGCCGTTAAGTTGGTCTTAATGTTCTTGAGCTGACCGGGCATTGAAAGCCGGGCCGCCTCTACGTTACGGGTCTGACCGCTGCGGACACACCACTCGATGGCGTTCTCCAGAGTCGGGAAACTCGTGGGACGACTCCTGAGAAACGATTGCATGGAATGCAAGGCATCCATAGCCGTGCCCTCCACCACATCGATCACTATAAGACCGACAATTCTTGGGATCAGTTCGTAAAGATTGGCGCAACAGTGGACAGCGATAGCGCCGCCCATACTGTGACCCATGAGTATCAGCGGCGGAATGCCGTCAATCGGGTACAGACTTGTGATCACATTAAACACATCGTTGGCCAGCGTTTGAACGCTGAGATCGTCGTCGCAAGTGGTCACTGAGTTTCCGTGTCCTCTGCAGTCGATGGCAATCAGATTACAGTCACACAACTCGCGGATCTCCTGCGCGAAGGGCCCGAACGTGAGGCCACTATAGCCGCCGCCGTGTAGTAACACAACGAGCGGTGTGTTTGCGGAGGCGTTGTCTTCGCCGCCATCGATGGATCCGCTGATATACACGCGAAACGAGTCGTCGCCGATCTTGAGGTCGCGTTTGGCGTCAAACGCTTTGCTCCAATCGATGGCACTGTAATCGTTACGACTTCGCGACCGCTGCCGCTGCGGAGGACCAGCTCTTTGCGCACCCGATGTCACCGTCGGAACCATTGGCGGCATTCCTCTCATCAGTAGTTTGCGCTCCAAATCAGACATTTTAGGAACAGTTTGGGTGATCGACAACAACAACAACTCACTCACAAAGCGATTCAATCACTCATTCATACCATCGATGAGACACTTGTCCTTCAAATCCAATCTTTGGTTTTGTTTTGATTTTTTTAAATCTCAAAATTCAATGAGATTTTTGTTGCCATTCAATAGAAACTATAGTCCTGTTCGCATATAACGTGACGTTTAATGACGAGAGGGGGCGACACAATGATTGACAGCATATAAACCATACGGAAAACTGTAGAGTGTTTTCAAAACATATCGAATTATTTGGTGGACCGGCAGTGAGTCAACACATGTAACAGCATTCGTGAATAGCATGTAATGAATACCAATATTGCATATAACGTGACGCAAAAGGGCGTAATTATTAGACCCTTTGAGACCCTAAACAATGACAAACATATAAATGTTATGCGAAAGCCCTCACAAAACAGGGAAACCCTTCGCCCCTAAGAGTGCACACAATATATGGTAAAGACATCTCATATTAAAGGACGTCAAATAAATACGGATTTGTATTGAGTTTTAAGCCATAGATTGAGTGCTAATACAAAGTGAACAACAATTCTAACCATTGATTACATATCCAGACATTGAATACATAAACGCATACAACGAGTGACTCATCTCTCGATGAATGTCTTAAGCGATTGACGATTGGATACATTCGTGGATTGAATAGCAGGTAATCGTAATGATTGTCATTAGTATTAACCATACGTTTGAATGATTGGCTAATTGTATGGCAATCGCAGCGAAAGTAAAGTCGCAATAAAATCACGTAATGATTGTGTGAATGCATTGTAAACCTTATGTGACGTCATATTTGTATTGAAAATCAGATGACTTTTGTTTTTATTGTGATTTTATGCGAGATTTTTGTGAAACATTGAAACAGAAATCCTTTGTCTCTATATTTGGGATCAGATTTGTGTCATTTCTTCCCCGTATTCGCCATAACATTGACTCAATTGATAGCATTTATTGTCACAATTAACTGATCCGTTGTCTCGATGTGTTAGCGCAGGTGTTGGCGAACCGATGATGAGATCGTTGTCTTTGTTGCGATAGAAGTGTTGCGCCCGAAGAAGTGGTGGTGAAGTGGAAGTGGAAGTGATGGCAATCTTCGACATCCCGTGGCTGTCGGAGTCCATCAAGAAGAGAGCCCTCAGATATCTATTGCAACGCTATTTAGGGAACTTCTTGTTGGAGAAGTTGACTTTGGATCAGTTGTCGCTCGACTTGTATGAGGGCAGGGGTTCCGTACGACACATACAGCTCGATGTGGACACCATTAACGACGAACTCAACCAATTGTCTTCATTCAAGTTCATCGAGGGCTCCATCAATGAGCTGTCGGTCGCCATCCCGTGGACCGCACTTCTGGTCGACTCGTCGTCCATTCATTTCGACGGCATTTCACTTAATTTATGCAAATTTGCGAACAATAAGTGCAATGACTTCGGCCGGGAGTCCACTCTTATATCGAAGTCACTCATGACTTCATCCATACAAATGGCCGAAGAGATTGTCAACGAAGACCAGAACGACAAGTTTGACGGATTGGAAATGTTTGCACAACTCATCGATTCCGTGTTGAGACGATTCAAACTCTCGGCCAGCAATACGTCCATTAGGTTTGTCTTCCCCCGCAAGACAGGCGACGGACAACAGATAGAGCTTCGCGTCCGGTATATGACGTGCGAAGAGGAAGAGCTGTCGAAAGGAGACGAGAACAGCGGCGGTCGCGACCAGAGTCCAGACGGCAATCACATCAACATTGTCTCCGAAACGATCACTAAAATCATAACTCTTGAGGGCATTGAAGTGTTGATTAATTCAGTATTGGTTTGCAAACTGAATGGAAAGCATTCAATTCAGTTGAAGATCGACGAAAAGGCCACTGATTTGCAGATATTCTTCGGTTCGCACATCTTCTCCATCATTAATAGCAAACATTTGGAGACTTTGATCGAAATGTTTGAAAGCGGGGATCAAATGCCGCAACAGATGCCTGTTATGGCCGGAGAGAAGCTCATGAGCTCTGAAGACTATCTGAAAGTGGAGGGACAGTTGCAGGAGGAGTTCGGTGGTGCCAAACGAGCCCAAAAAGCTGTGATATCTTCCTCAGTGGTAACCATGGAATCAAATAAATGGACGACAAGTGGATTCGTTGACGCCATGGATGACGAGCCAAAGTTTATGCCAATGACGGGCGGAGGCAAAGAAACCGAACCCAAGAACCAGAGCGACAAGAAAGCGAAAGAGTCTCGGTTTACGTGTCACATACGAGTGCCCGGACTCACGGTATGTCTGGTGGCCAACGACTCGATGCCGCGCTTCGAAGGGATGCCAATCATTGAAACTCAGAACTCGTTTCCACGAATCAACTCGTTTTTGGACAAAATGTTGGATAATTTGGATCACTTGCGGTTCCTATCCCTACAACTGTCGGTCGACATCGCGTCCGACGACTCGTTCGCCTTCTCGTGCGGAGACCTAATGGTTAGTGAAGTAATGAACAATACATTGGCGCCAATCCTATGGAATCCTAACAGTTGTCAGACAATTATCTCTCCATTTATGCGCTTTAAATCCAAAGACAAGAATATGACACTAAATATGGATTCATTGAACGCGAGGATTGACTTGACTTTTCTAGAGAGATATCACAACTATTTTAATGTTAATTCGTTTAACAAAAATAATTCACAAACTAATGTAGACTTCAATTTGAACGTCGATTGCAATGATATTAGAGTCGAACTCTTGATTCCCATACCAGACCTCAGACCACAAGAAGAGAGGACTTTCTCAGAGCTTAGAGACGAGACATTTCTCCTCAAACTTACAAATCCCGCAATAAAAGTGAATCAAAACGGAGGAGAGATTAAGTGTAAGAAGTTTGGCCTCGACTTCAAAGTGCCCGTCCCTTCCATCGATCCCGAAGACGACTCGATCCCCATATCGTATGAATTTGTAAATATAATTAACGGCCAATCGATGGATACGGAGGACATCAGTCTGAAGATGAGGTTTGGTCTGAACTCAGCGCTCAACACCACTCTCAATGAAGACGACGTGAACGCACTCTTTGACGTCGATATGGAGGACTCGATATACGTCGGGCAGACTGTACCCCAACCGGTGACCGAACCCTTCCAAGTGAAGCGAAAGGTGATCGGAAGGGATGCCAATGAGAACGAACAGGTGTTGACGCCCGGAGACAAAGAGCACATGAAAACATACTTTGAAACATCTGTGGCGTCCTCTCAAATACATTTGGAGCTATTCGTGCCGTCCGTTGACATCCATTTCCAAATGCAAAAGCATTTGGAACTCCTCTATAACCGCGTCGGCAATGATTTGATTCTGTGGACGCCTTTCGCACAACAAACACACGACTCGAACCCCAACGCCGAGCAACCGATGGCACAAAACCCGACGTTCTTTAACATGAAGACAATGAGTGACTCGAGTTCTACCAACTCTTCGTTTCACTCGTTTACCGGCTCTCCGCCGGCGAGTCGTTTGAATTTCATGACATTTGGCATCAATTTGAATGATATTACGCTCGAAATGGGATCCAAAGAAGAAATGACTCAAGAGATCTTTGCTCAGAATCTGATGTTCGGACTCGTGGTGAGCGAAAAGAGCGACAACAATAGCACTTTATGTCTGTGCGCTGAGAATATGTCGTTCAAATCGGACGGCGCTATTGTTATCATCGGTAACATCTATAGCGAACCCAACTGTGCCTTCAGTTTAGCTGTCGATATAACGAGAGAAAACGATTCGTTGAAAAAGATTAAAATCGCGCTTCAATTGAGTTGTGCGGCGATGTATGAGATCCCGATCCCTGTCTTCACGCAGTTCTGGAAGTTTATTAACCTAAAGGAGTCGATATAACGAGAGAAAACGATTCGTTGAAAAAGATTAAAATCGCGCTTCAATTGAGTTGTGCGGCGATGTATGAGATCCCGATCCCTGTCTTCACGCAGTTCTGGAAGTTTATTAACCTAAAGGATGAGGTGGTCATCGGCTATACGCCGCCCAAAGTGATCACCGAATTGCACGTCGATGTGCTCGACAGCGCTATCGCGTTGGAAACACTCGGCCCGAGACCAGCGCTCATCACTTTTGAGGACATTTATGTCACTTCAATGGTTGTCGAGAATACGAACGAAACACTTCTGCGGATCTTCGCTGAGGACACACTCTTTTGCTTCAAACGGAACAAAGCTTTAATCGAATCCATGAAGAGTTATATATGTGTCGTTCAGACGGGTATTATTGACTTGAATCTGAAGCTCGGAAAAGATGGTAAATTAGAGTTTAAAGTGTCCAATAATGCGATCGACATCCGATGCTGTGCCGACTCTTTTGTCGCTTTGTGTCAAGTCATTAGTTCTCTCACTTCGAGCTCAACAAACAATATGGACATTGAAAACGACGATTTGTACAGCAGTTCACCAGAGAATGCGTTTGACGACAAACTAATGGAAGACGCGATGGGAGACAACGACAAGTCATTAGTTCTCTCACTTCGAGCTCAACAAACAATATGGACATTGAAAACGACGATTTGTACAGCAGTTCACCAGAGAATGCGTTTGACGACAAACTAATGGAAGACGCGATGGGAGACAACGACGAAGAAGACAGCGATGACGAGCCGCCAAAGTTTGACAATGTCTGCTCAAAGTGTGACAGCCCTCAGATGGATGAGAGCGGGTTCTGGGTGTTGGGTGCGGACGACTTGGGCACCGGAATCAAGATGACGGCCGAACCGCAGATCCGGTTTCTAACCGATGAGCCAATCATTGTTGTCGAGAACCACTTTAATCTCAGTCGACAGCGTTTAATACCAGACATCAATCCGTCAACTCTTTGCCGTTATTTCTTGGAGGAGATGACTTTGATATTGCATTTATATGACGGCCGAGACTTCGATGACGACACCCAGAGTGACAGTCCTGTCGACAAACGAGCCGACGATACGAAAAGCTATAAAAGCCACAAATCAAACAAATCCTATTACAGTTCAGAGCCCAGAGTTCGCTTCGCCGAGGGATCGGTGCATATGTGGGAGAATATAGACCTCGAGTCCGGCGGACACTTCCCGATCAGAGGCTCCCACTCTAATCACAACATGAGAGCAAACAATTCGTTCAAATATATGGGAGGAATAAAGCGTCAAAACGACACGTGTGTCTCCATTTGTCTCAATAAAGTGAAGACACTGTTCGAGA